TGCTTCCCCATTGGTTGGTTCTTGTGTATCCTAAGATCCAACCCTCAACCTTAGCATACGGGGAAGATGCTCTAACCAACTGAGCTACTTGGTGAGGGCTAGAGGGCAAACAATTTAAAAACAATGTGGACTTTTCATTGACTGTCAACTGCTTTGGGGCCAGCTTCGGGTGAATTGGCCTAGTAGCCTAAACATGTATTAACAAAGAAAGAAGAGGTTCAATGCTCTAAAAATGACTCACAGCCAAGATAGCAGATAGGCAGGCAGACAGGCATGGAAGAGAGAAGGTCTGTGTCCCCCACCTGCTAACTGTGTGTGACCTTGGGCCTTAACCATTCTGGTCCTCAGTTTGCATACCTGGAGAATGGGGATGCTGCCGGTACCTCCGCAGAGTCCTTGTGTAAATTAGGAGAGTTGTTATATATGCAGACCGCTTAGCACCATTTATTTTTCAAATACAATGTATATCCCCCTTCCTGCAGTTTAGGCCCTGAAAGTGTAGGACAGGGGCTGATTCTTTGCTTTCCCTTCGGTGCTCAGTGAAGACCTACTCAATTTCAGTTCAATTCAAGCACCAAGCCAGCACCTTTCCTTTCCCCCCTTACTCTTTCATTGGTCCTATTTGCCACTTCACTTCTCAGCTGGGCCAGGGGGGGTCCACCTGCATGCTCTGGGGAGGGACCTGGGGGGGCCTCATGCTGAGCTCTCTTTCTCCTGTCTGTCCTGCCTTGGGGATCTTCTCTGAAGGACCATGCGGCCTAGGATTTCCACAAGTGAATGGAAGCCCTCACCCTCACTCGGCATCTCCTGGCTGACCACAAGCCTCCATCTCAGCATGCGGCGCTGTCAGCTAAGGAGCCTCCTGGCCATCCCTGCCCTGGGATTCCCACTTCTAGAATGGCGGCTGCTAACGTGGTCTGCATACAGCAGTCCCCAGCATCTTCCTCAAATACCCCTGAATCGGATCATGTCAGCCCCTGCTCAACACCCTTCAGTGCCTGGCTCATCACTCCACATACAATCCCAACCCAGTGTCTTGGCCAGACATCAAAATGCCATCCCCATGTAGCCCTGAGAGCTTTCTAGGCCCAGTCTGTTTTCAAGCTGGAACAAGACTGGTGCTCCTTCCCTCCTGCACCTCACCTGGCCTGCTCACGCCCCTACTCCTCTCAGGCACTTTTTAAAAAAAGTATATATCTATTGATTTCAGAGAGGAGGGAGAGGGAGAGAGAGAGGGAAACATCAGTGATGAGAGAGAATCATCCATCAGCTGCCTCTTGCACACATCCCACTGGGGATCGAGCCTGCAACCTGGGCATGTATCCCCACCAGGAATCAAACCCTGATAGGTCAACGCTCAACCACTGAGCCACACCGGCCGGGCTCAGGCACTTCTTCATTCAGCACTCCCGATTCTGGCTGGGACGGGAGCTAAGTCCCTCCCTGCACCCATCTGAGGCCTGGCTCCCTGGTGTGAAGTGTCAGGTCTTAAGGGCCCCAGGTAGCGAGAACTAGCCTGACCCTCCTGTCTGCCAGCCAGCATGGAGGAGAGCCAGGGACAGGAGTCAAACACTGTCAATTTGATAGAGAAGGAGGTCCAGGAAGGAGGTGGAAAGTGACTTCTCTCCGGCCAACCTGGCAGAGTCCACCTGAGTCCTTGTGCAAGCTGAAAGGGACATGTCATCAAGCCAAATTCCCAAGTCCATCAGGAAGACCATTGCTGGGTGCTTTAGGGCCCAGCTTCTCTGTACCCTCCAACTGCCATGACCCCTGTAACAGGACACTCAGTTCTTCACAGATTCCCCCAGGGCCTGGCACACAAAGGCTGAAGGATCCCCAGCATCGGCTCCCTGTTCTGGGGGTCTTCTGGGGGGTCCTGCAAAGCATGACAATCTCCTGGCTAAGGGGCTAACATTCATTCTCCTGCTTCCTGGGGTGATATGCATTTAAGTAGAAGCCACTAACTATCACCTGTCTCAGTGATGGCTCCTTTGGCCTGTAGCATTTGACAACTGCTGCCTGTGCTCCTGACTACCCTAATCACCCTTGCTGCCTTTCTGCAGATAAGGTGCCGCCAGCCTGAGGGCTGCAATGTGGGGCACCCCGGAAAAAGGTGAGATCCCTCTGAACCACCAGAAGGCCCAAAGGAACCTGGAGCAACCACAGGGCTTCCTGAACTCTGGGGAGAGAATCACTGAGTGTGGGCAGGGCCCCTGGGAACCCGCAGCTCGGCTTCCTTATTTCACAGGGGAGGGACTCAGGGCCCTAGAGGGGAGGTAAATGGCCAAGGTCATTTAGGGCAGTTGGTAGCACCGCCACACAGGTGAGGCCTCTTTGGCCTTTCTCAAACAAATGCTTCCAAATGTATAAAGAAAAACAGGATTACGACAAAAATTGAATGTCAAGACAATCACTAAAATATTTTTGAAAATGTGAGAAAGGGTTATACATGTCCTTCTTTACCAATAGGTTAAATTCCAGGATCTCCAGGCAGGTTGAATAACTACAGTAATTTCAAAGTAATTATTCTGCCTGCCAGTATGTCTTGTCATTTAGTTAATTTCAGGATATCTACAACAAAAGCTATGAGATATGAAATGACTGCTCTGTCATTTTCATTGGTGACAGTCACCTGCCTAATGCTCTTATGCTCTGCGGCCTATATTCATAATTGCGGGAAAGGCCAAATTTCGGCTAGAGGCTGGTGAAAATAAAGAGGAAATAAAGATGAAAGTGGAAAAAATCATCTATTGTCACTGCAAACTCCCAGACACCTGTGCAGGACCCCTGCACTACAGCCTGAGTCTAGCCGTGAGCATGACAGTGCAACACCCAGGCGGCCTCTTGCAAGATTTGTAACGGATTTGGAACCCGGGGGGCGACGTCAGTACCCACCTCTCAAGGTTGTGGTGAGAACTCACAGTACTGGCGCGAAAAGGCCAGCGATCACCATCCGGGTACTTTGTCTCCCTCACTTTGCTGGGGGAAATTCAAATCTCAAAAAAAGGGCGGACCCGAAAAGCGGGCTTGCGCCTGCGCGCGGGGCGGGGCGCGGGGCTCTGGGAAGCAGGCG